TTAGATGCTATTAAATCTCAAAAGCACAATAACACCAAAGCAAGGTGAGAACACTGCAACAAACAAAAGCTCTGTGTTTCAGTGAAGTGTGTCATATACTGTAGGCATGTTAGTAGTGCCATTCATCTATATTCTAGCTGTCTTCTTAGTGCTCTAGTTCATAATCAACTCAACTACTTGAGAGAAAAAAAGGTATAAAATATTAATATAAGCAGAACATCAACTTACGGTTATTTTTCTGGGCCATGCCGACTCTCTCCCTCTCGTCTCTCGCTCACTCTGAAAGACTTAACGCTGCTGAAACCTGAACTTAAGCTACAGATTGGGATAATCAGCCACACACACACACACACACACACACACACACACACACACACACACACACACACACACACACACACACACACACACACACACACACACACACACACACACACACACACACACACACACACACACACACACACACTGACCAGTGCCTCAGAGATGGATTTTTTTTCTTGCAACCTGTCGTTTTTCTATTTTCATCGCTGAAGTTTTCCTAGAAACTTTGCCATGGTGTATTTGGAGGGAAACCAAATGAATGACATAAAGTAAATAACCACAACAAAATAGTAATTAAAAAAGATATTGAAATGATATCTGCTCATGATGTTATATCTTTGGTTTATGTTCAGAATATGAATGAATCACTGTTTGTTTTGTTTCTGGTTGAAATTAAATCTGAAGAAAACCTCGATCGGTGACGCCGTTATTTTAATTTAAGTTGCTTCCACCGCAGTTCGAAAATAATGGACTATTTTTGTTTGTGGTAGAAATACGACAATTTTGAAGTTGTTGGTTCTTTCGGTATGTACCTTTGTAATAAGCGGGATAATTCTTAGGTAACATCAAGCTGTCTTTGTCTCCTTTCTGCTGTAACAACCAATCTGATTCTGATTCTAATGACTCACCGAAAGTCTATTGGTAAGTCATCAATCAGATACAACTTCTTCATACACAAAGGTTACTCAAAGTGCTACACAAACCAAACACATAACAAATCAAAACAATACTATCTGGTATACCCATAGCTCTGTGGTTAAGAAGAATACTTATTACCAACACAGGACTGAATAAACCCAATATAAAAAAAGCCAATAAACCAATTGTGTGAACCAATCATCACTGTCCAGCACACAGAAGGCAAGTGATCGTCCCTCACCTGCAGCAATAACGGAGATTCTCACCTGTGTTTAGTGATGTGACGTTCGTGAACGATTCGATTCTTTTGAACGGCTCTTCGGTACGAACGAAGGGAACCGAGTCGTACTGGGTGAGAGTCGATCTTTTTATCGTTGGTTCACTCCCCATAAATTCACTCGCCTTTACGTGAACAGTGAAAAACCTTGATTGTGTTCCCCAAGCGTATTCCGTGAAGACCCGCCCCTTCTCTGATTGGTTAGGTTTAGACAGGAGTGCCTCTGATTGGTTAGGTTTAGGCACGAGGAGTGAGATGTTGTGGGTCAGGGTTAGCCAATCAGAGGCAGAGTAGGGGGGTGGGTCTTAACGGAATACGCATGAGAGAGATAAGTGATATCAAGCGGTACAGGTAGACGAATTGTTTTTCGGTTGAAAAAATGAGCAAAACGCAGCAGAATTCGGATGCGCTTCAACAAAAACATCGGCAATGATAAAGCAGAGTGCAACATTTGTAAAGGCAAAATATGATTTAAAGCAGGGTCAATAAATAATCTCCACCCTCACTTAAAAAAAAACAGCATTTTTTGAACGGCTCTCGGAAAAGAACGTAGACATAAGATCCGGCTCCCTTCAAAGAGCCCAAGTTCCCATCACTACCTGTGTTGTAGTTCTTGAATAGAGTACATTCTCACCTGTGTTGTAGTGCTTGAATAGAGTACACTCTCACCTGTGTTGTAGTGCTTGAATAGAGTACACTCTCACCTGTGTTGTAGTGCTTGAATAGAGTACACTCTCACCTGTGTTGTAGTGCTTGAATAGAGTACATTCTCACCTGTGTTGTAGTGCTTGAATAGAGTACATTCTCACCTGTGTTGTAATGCTTGAATAGAGTACACTCTCACCTGTGTGGTAGTGCTTGAATAGAGTACACTCTCACCTGTGTGGTAGTGCTTGAATAGAGTACACTCTCACCTGTGTTGTAGTGCTTGAATAGAGTACACTCTCACCTGTGTTGTAGTGCTTGAATAGAGTACACTCTCACCTGTGTTGTAGTGCTTGAATAGAGTACACTCTCACCTGTGTTGTAGTGCTTGAATAGAGTACACTCTCACCTGTGTTGTAGTGCTTGAATAGAGTACATTCTCACCTGTGTTGTAGTGCTTGGTGCAGTAGCGCAGGTCCTTCTCGTCTTTGAGCAGAAACTGAGGTAGCGTCAGGCCGTCGGCCACCTGCACGGCTCCCTTCTCATCCCACTCGAACACCAGGTCGTTCATGGTGTATCCGACTGGAGAGGAGAAGACCAGGTGAGCCTCTTTTCATCAATGTGCGGGTCATTTGAGTTACTCTACTTCCCCTCGGGGGGGAGATTATCTCTCTCATGTCTGGTCGGTGGTGAAAGGTCACTCAGAGAGAGATAGACCCCCTGCAGGGTTTCAGGGGTAAAGGGCCAGCGCCACACAAATTGAAAATACTGTTATAATGCCCGCTGCTCTAAAAACTATTCTAAGGATTGGGATCGTTTATATATCCAACGCAAACTTACAGGTTATAAAAAGAAGATTTACAGCAGAGTTATTTGTTCTTATTGCGGTGAAAAGGGGGGAAATTAGAAAGAAGGAACGAGGAAGTGAGAGTAAGATATAAGAAGCAATAAAGGAAGTAGGAAAAGATGGAGAAATGAAGGTGGGAAGGAAGGGTGAGAACAAGTTAAAAACTGAATGGAAAAGGGGTTATTGTAATAGGATAAAAAAGGCAATGAAAAATAAATCTGGCCGCTGCTCTAAAACTATTCCAGGGATTGGTGGTTGTTTATATAATCAGCAGGAGAATGGAGTAAAGTATCCAAAGCATAATTACAGGTCATAAAAAGAAGATTTACAGTAGATGTGTTTGTCCTTATTGAGGTGTAAAGAGGGGAGATAAGAAAGAAGGAACGAGGAAGTGGAATCAAGATATAACACGGACACATGAGAATAGAGGAAGTAGGAAAAGATGGAAGAATTGGAGAAAAAGAATGTGGATAGAGGGGAAGGGAACGAAAAACGTTCTGCTTAACTAAATTAAACAGAAAATCATTTATTATAATAGGAACAAATGAGGTATGATTTATTTTTATTTTATTAGCTTGTCATTAGCAACATCCCATCGATTGGTCTTTACATATTTGCATTTATTATTACATTTTTTATTTATTGTATTGTTTTTAATATTTTATTGAATTCATATTTTTTTTCTGATGTATGCCTCACTTTTAAAAGAGTGGATTATATTTGTGTATTTCAGCTCAGAGGGAAAGGATGAGAGGAGGGAGATAATATGAAGATGGGAATGCATTAGACATTAAAGAATGGTCTTGGGGAAGAAGAGGAAAGATGGAAGGACAGCAGGCCGTTTTTTCCAATGTCTTATTAATGATTATTTCTGAGCTGAACAAAAATCCGTACGAATCGAATCACACTAAACTCTCAGGGTGAGACGGAGATGATGTCAGACGGTGACTTTATTAAGCGTTGTAGTATTCATTTTGAGAGTGAGATAGAACAGAAAACATGATTAAAAAAACAGAGGGAATTTTATATCGTTCCTTCTCTCTAAGACGACCGCAGTCCCTTTGTAGAAGAACAGAGCCACAGAGAAATGTGTGTGTGTGTGTGTGTGTGTGTGTGTGTGTGTGTGTGTGTGTGTGTGTGTGTGTGTGTGTGTGTGTGTGTGTGTGTGTGTGTGTGTTGATGACTCACAGCTCTCCAGTTGCATGATGCAGGTCTGGACGTCCATCGGGAAGTTCTTCAGATCCATGGGACATGCCAGGATCAGTGTTATTCTGCAGACACACACACACACACACACACACACACACACACACACACCACTTAGTAATAAGACTAAGAGGATTATCCGGATCGTTATCAGTGTCACACATCCCGTGCCGGGGGATGAACAGTGATGGATCAGGACATGCCAGCATTTTACAATAAAATATAAGATTAATATTTGTATTTTACATTTCAATGTGTTTTATCCAGACTGATTTACGATAAGTGCAACAATAGATTAAACTAGCAATGAATATATCACTAGAAGCCATTTGCATTATATATACAATTATGTCCACACACTTAAGCAGTACTTAAGATACAAAAAAGTTCTTTGAAATACGAAGGCAAGCGTGCCTGATTTGAGTTGATTTGAGTTGTGAAAGACAAACTAATGATATGAACACAACAAGATTAGATTCAATTGATTTGAGAAACAATAACTTGATGACATGAATATTGACAAAATATGTTTTAGGTCATTTATGCGTGATGATATAAAAAGACCCAAATGTATTTACTAACTCACTGAGTGGGAAACAAATCTTATCAAGCACACAATACAATTTGTTTTAAATGTAAGTGTAGTAAGGTAAATGAAGTACGTCTTATCTAGATACTAAAGGGCTTTAAGGAGGATTAGGGACACATGTGTGATATTTTTTGGAAATCTAAGGAAAAAGTAGCAATTCTAAGAAAAAGTCAAAATCCTGAAAAAATAAAATGATAAGAAAAAAGTTATAATTTCTGAAAACATTCCTACGGAGCCCTGGAGGGTTCATAGAGAGAGAAATAAATAAAACGAGGCCACGCTTTATTAATTTGTGCGCACGATATACTTTCTCGTTCGCACGAGATACTTTTCTTTTTTTCTTTCCATGAACCTTTAGGGGATCCGTAAATTCCAATTTCTGAAAAATGTCCAATTTCTGAAAAATGTCCAATTTCTGAAAAATGTCCAATTTCTGAAAAAAAGTCAGATTTTAGATTTTAGTGAGACACTTTTTTGATGAAGTCAAAATTCTGGAAACAAAAGTTACATTTCTGAAAGAGTCAGATTTCTGAAAAATAATAATAATTTTTAAAAAAAAGTAACAATTCTCAAAAAAAAGTCAAATTTCTGAAAAAAGTCAGAACGATTCTGAAAAAAGAGTCAAAATCCAGCAAAAAATAGTCAACATTTTGAAAACATTCTGAGCTTGAAGGTCAGAATCTAAGAACTCAATCTCAGCATCTGATCCGAGAACTAAAATAAAAACCTTTCACTTGTTGAGATCAAAAATTGAGAGAGATATTGTTTGTTTTTCATCAGATTTGTTGACAATGAGACCGAAAAAAGAATTACCTCCTTTAATCGTTTTAATGAAAAGACATTCAGAAAGATATTAGTTGCAGCCCAAAATGGAGATTTCCCAAACACTGGCCGTTTCTCAATTAAGCAATCATACACGAGAGGCCGATTCTATTACACAAACTATCATTGTAATCAACAATATCGTAAAATAATTTCATAATGTGGGCTAATTTGCTCCCAAACCTACGCTTTCTGCTTGAGTTAATCTCCGTCAGAAAGTAGTTCCTAGAAATAGTTTCCATGGTAACGATAGCCGATCAAACACTCCTGCTACCCCGCTTACAGTTATTGATATAATTATAGTAAATAATATATTATCAACCAATTTATTGAAAACAATTTATTGAAAACAATTCTTGAATTAGGCTATTTAAATATCTGAGTAATCACTGTGTGGGATTAGCGGAACAAATCAAATCAGGCTGCCCATGGTGCTGAAACATTTTGGGTTCAGAATGAAGGTGGATGTTCATGCTGCCATTAAAAGTGCTATTCTTGAAACAGCTCTCCATGAACTCCATGCCAGACTTTTTTGCAGGTGGTGCTGTGGTGTTCACGGGTAGCACTACGTTATAGGAAGAGCTTTCCTCCAGTGGCCGTTTCATGGCGTGTCCCGGACCGGCAAAAAGCACGTTGCTCCACATCTTTCTGTTGTCTAGAGATGGAGCCCAGTAGCTGCGAAGCGATGACTCGTTTTTATGTCCGCTAACGGACATGATTTCTCTGGCCTCCAACCCTGCCTCCGCCAGCCGCTGTATGATGTATACTGTATGCTGTATGAGAGACAATGTATAACAGTGTAACGGCTGTGTGTCGCTAAACGTCGCTATGGAAACCACACGATGTAGGCTCATGGAAGTAGTTTCGGTAGGCTAGTGGCGTGTGTAGGCCACTGGATACTTTGTGATTAGGCACGTTCTATTTGATCGTTGTTTGATCGTGGAATCAAACACGCCTATTGACCAATCAGAGAGCTTGCTCAAACCTATGTGTTATAGAATGTTGAGTATACCTGCTGCAGAGCCACTATTTCAAGTATACTACGTCATCGAGTGGCGCCGAATGCTGGGCATTTAACATGCATCCAAACAGTCCTTCGGCGCCACTCTGTGACGTAGTATTCTTGAAATAGTGGCTCTGCAGCAGGTATACTCGACAGAGTGAACGTGTGGAACTCACACGACGAACATTTCTGCTAAAGACCGGGCAAAGCAGTACCCCGATGTCTTTCACGAAAGTGGGGGGAAACTATTCTGCACCCCGTGCAACTGTGTGTTGGAGCATAAGAGAAAGTCCACTTTGATTCATTCAAACATTCGAAAATGCTTTCTGCTGCTGCGGACAAGAAAGCCAAACAACTCACGTTCACCGAGGCATCAACCTCCAAAACCCTTTAGAGGGCTACATGAAACGAAGTTTGTAGCTTACAAGATTGAAGCTGGTCAGATAACGAACGAGTAAATGAAAACAGAATAAGGCGGAGGGGGTTGTAATCCGGTGGAATCGAATTCGCCACCACGGCACTTCGTACACTGGCTAACGACATCAAAGAAAATATCCGGTTGTAATCGGTGGAAATCGAATCGTCACACTGCACTTCAGTACACTAGTACGACAATCAAGGAAATATCGTTGATTCGGTGGAAATCGAATCGGCACCACTGCACTGTCAGTACACTGAAGTGCCGGTGGTGGCGATTCGATTTCCACCGATTACAACCCGATATTTCCTTGAATGTCGTGCAGTGTACTGAAGTGTAGTGGTGGCGAATTCGATTTCCACCGATTACAACCCGAATTTCCTTATGTCCCGTGCAGTGTACTGAAGTGCAGTGGTTGGCGATTCGATTTCCCACCGATTACAACCCTGATATTTCCTTATGTCCGTGCCAGTGTTAATGAAGGGCAGTGGTGGCGATTCGATTTCCACCGATTACCAACCACGATATTCCTTGATGTCGTGCCAGTGTAACTGTAAGGTAGTGGTGGCATTCGATTTTCCACCGTTACAACCCGATATTTCCTTTGATGGTCGTGCCCAGTGTAATGAAGTACAAATGGTGACGGATTCGATTTCCTCCCGAATTACAACCCCGAATATTTCCTTGATGTCGTGCAGTGTAATGAAGTGCAGTGGTTGGCCGATTCTGATTTTCCCACCGATTACAACCGTATATTTCCTTGCTGTCGTGCCAAGTGTAACCGCACTACTGAAATCAGAGAGTAAATCTGTGAACAGATCCTTGAGGTAAAAATTTAGGTGGTCACCCTCAAAATCACTTCCAATAAGTACATGTGCGGGTTGACATAACAGAATTTTACTTTCCCGGGGGACAATTGGACCTAATAAATCCAGTTAATCGGAGCTACATGACTGATGAACTCCCTTGGTTTCTAAAAAGGTTTGGAAACCGTCTAAATAAAATAAATGGTGGAAAGTTTTATAGTGTGTCCACCATTAGTCTATAGTATGTACAGTCAAGAACATTTGGGTTAGTTTAAGTCGTAGAGGACGTAATCATTGATGTATAGATCGATAGGGAGATAGATAGATAGATAGATAGATAGATAGATAGATAGGTAGTATATAGATGACATAGATATATAGATAGATTATAGTGAAGTAATCATCACGGACAAAAATGCATGAGATGGAGTCGTTTTCAAGGGGAGGTCCCAAAACTTTAGAGGTTTGAGGTCAATAATGCATTTTTTCTTTCCGAGGTTGATTGATTTCAGTTCGTAAACCGTAAATCCACAGGTGCGCTACGTCCGTCTGTCCTTTTGGTGCCTCGAAAAGAGGCTTCACCCTGTAGACACCTCCGAAAGTAGTACACACACATTATGTTATAAGTCGTAGAACAGTCCGCGTTTGTTACACGGCTGCACCGTTTCAAATAAAACATTATAGTCCGGCTTAGGACCTGCACACACAACCTTCGCCCTACAACACCACACACACACACACACACACACACACACACACACACACACACACACACACACGACACACACACACACACACACACACACACACACACAGTGGAGTGACGTGAGTCCTGTTGGACCGTACCTGTCTAGTGTTAGTCACGTTTTTCCTTACACACACTTTACTCGTGAGGACTTGCTCGTCAAAATCATCTAAATCTCTAATACCTACTGTCACCACCAATACCTACTGCGAAAAAAAAACGTCTGTAAAATATTTGAACGGATAGACCCCTTAATGGAAGTTTCAGTAGACTGCCTATTGTTCGACGCACTAATGGTGTACAGTGTCTCGCCTGACTAAGTCGCAACTCCGTTAATCACGGTAATACCAAAAGTTAATCAATCGAAAAGAAGTGTATTAAATCTTATGTGCCAGACTTCAATATGTTAACACATAAACAAAAGAGAGTAGTCTATTCAACTGGGGTTAAACCCTGTACAAACGCATACCGTCGCGTATGTTTCTGTTCCGTAACGTGTATCCCCTTTAATTCTCTCACTTTATTTGTTTAGATTTATATTTGTAGAGTTTATCTTTATTTTGTCTGTAATTTTTTCATCTTTTAACCAATAGTTATCATCGTTAAAAGAATGGTGGTTAGTCTAAAGTTGCTGACCTTCAATCATGTTAATACATAAAAAAATTCCTAAAAGGGAGAAGTATTCTATTCACATCACAAAAACAAAAAGCAAAAACAAACCACCAAAACACAACAACCCACAAAACACAAAAGACACAATCCACAAGACAACAAACACCACACAAAAAACCAAAACACACACCAACCAAATCACAGACCTAAAACAACAAACCCAAAAAGCAACAAAAACCCACAACAACAATAAAAGAACAAGAGAAAACAGAAAACACCAAAACAGACCACAGACACCAAACACACAACGAAAACAATCAAACTTGTCGTGTTTTCACTCTAGAACATAATCTTCTGTCGTCTGTCAACTATTAAACAAATTTCTGACACAAACTTTACCATTATAAAGAGTAAAAATTTAAACTTGTTTCCAATAGTAAGGGTCAACTACTGTAAGTATAACTCAATATTGCAGCAAAAGGGTAATAAAGACCTCAACAGAAGACCACACCGCCATTAATTAAAGGCCCGGACCTGAGTCTTTCTTGCAAACAGGTGGAACTGCGCTCTGCCCTTGTAAAATTAAAGTTCTCCAAGTGCCTAGTCGGATTCGTAACTTTTTCTTAGTAAGGTACAATGACTTGCGGAGACCTCCCTACAAAAACAACAACCCTCTTCTCCCTCTTGCTCCCTCCTTCTTCTTCTTTGATCCCTAGAGAAGTGCAAAGAAAGAAAATGAAAGGAAATAAAAGATCTGGGAGTGTCTTTTTTGCGCCCCTCGATTTTAGGAACTAAATTACGCTAATTTGTATGCTCCCAAATACACTAAAATACGCCACTTTAACGCCCTTCAACGCTTTTAATATCTAAAAAAAATTTATAACGCCGACAGAATAAATAAGAGAGTGTGTGTTGGACGGTGATGCAATTTGGGAAATGATAAGTTAATTTGTGTAAGTTAAAATAAATAATATTATTCGTTAAACCGATAAATATTAGTGAGAGAGAGTGAGTGTGTGGTGTGTGTGTGGTTGGGGTGTGTTGGTGTGTGTGTGTGTGTGTGTGTGTGTGTGTGTGTGTGTGTGTGTGTGGTGTGTTGTGTGTGTGTGTGGTGTGTGTGTGTGTGTGTGTGTGTGGTGTGTGTGTGTGTGTGTGTGTGTGTGTG